TTTTTTACTGTAGGTGTACTTAACAAATTGTAGTTTTATAAATAGTAAATGAAGTTTTGAATATTTAAATGTATGTAGTTAGTATGGTTAAATGCTTGATTCTTTTAATTATTACACGTTTAGAAATCTGTTAGTATAGAGGGGTGCCTGGGTGGCTCAGTCGGTTGAGCATCCGACTTCAGCTCAGAGTTCAAGCCCCGCATCAGGATCCTTGCTGACAGCTCAGAGCCTGGAGCCTGCTTCAGATTCTGTATCTCCCGCTCTCTGCCCCTCCCCCGCTCATGCTGTGTCTCTCTGTCAAAAATAAATAAACTTTAAAAAAATATATTAAAAAAATGTGTTAGTGTAGTAACCATTTCATTTTGAGCATTGTATGAAAAAGAAATTATAATTGTCACAAAATGCTGTCACTGGACATTAACTTTAAGACTATAGTTAACATTAATGTCTGGTTTTGTATCTTTATGGATTATTCTAATGGTTCATTATATTTTAAGAGAAAATATAATTGAAGTTACATATTGTTTACTCCACTGTCTTGATTTGGTTTAAAGGAAATGTTAGCAGTTCAATTCAATGGACATTTGAGCTTTAATTGCAAACGTTGGTGTCACGGGCTTTAGTTTAGACAGATTCATATTCTAAAATCCAACTCCATCACTTCTTGATGTTGAGCAAGTTACTTAATCTCTTTGAACTTGAGTTTATTCCATTTTCAAAATAGAAATAATAACACTTGTCTCAAGGGGGGGTCTTATGAGGAGTAATTTAGTGTATGCCAAGGGTCTGGGATGTAGTAGGTACTTATTAAATGTAATTGTTAATAATAATGAGAACAAGAAATAACGTCTAAAAAGATTTTACTACCCCAATTTCAAAATGTTTAGCTCCAGAGGGTTTAAATGTATATATAGGTGTTACAGAATTAATTGTTTTGTGTCAGTTTGTCTTGATTTTAGCAGGTTTTTAAGTTCTGTGTTACATAGATAGCAATAAACTAAAAGACTGTTTAAACTACATAATTATTAGAGGACTGCCC